CGAGGCAATTCCCCAAAGGGACGTATGTGGGTGATGCAGATGCACTGGATATGCGCAGTGCCATGCCTCGTGACAGGGAGCGAGGGAGGAGTAGCGTGTTTCCTCGTGCCATGGACCTATCCACTTTTGAAGAGTTGGAGTGAAGCTAAAGGGACAAGCGTGTGTGCCTTCACCTTCTTGCGGGAGGGCGCGCAGAGGTTGGATTTCTTTTGTTACCTTGTTGTCATTGTGCCTGTGTTGACGTTATTATTATTATTTTTTCCAGGGGCATTTATTGTGCGATTTGTGCGTGTTTGGTGTCCAACGTTTTCAGCACCGCCAAATGGGGTGTTGCGCAGGATCGGAGTACATGGATGTGCGAGGGCATTGTGTCGCTCGCCCGTAATAACACACACGCACAGTTTCAGTGAGTCTGACACATCGTGTTCTTCAGAACGTTCGAAATTGCTTGTGGGACGTCACTTCATTTGTGGCGTCGGGACAGTGAAGTAAATGGAGAGATATGCCGAGAACGCAATGCCCCTCCATAATACCGCAGGCTGGCGGCGACAAGGAGCAGAGAGCCTCTACCCAACGTTGAGAAGAGGGCAGCGCTCTGATGATCCGGTTTTTTGCGCTTTAGGAACTCCTAATGTAGTGTGCACCGTGTGAGCCCTTTTGCTGCGGATATGCAGAAGGGCGATGTGGGGTGGAATTATTGTTGAGGGCAGCACGGACGCCGCCTGACCTTTATGGGAGGGATGCGTGGTGTTATTCCGTGCTTCCTGGCCTGCGTTGTCGCACTCATGCTGTGTGTGCGGATGGCCACAGTAGTGGAGCTGAATACGGTTCAATGTGTGTTGCTCACGGGGACTGCGCGACACATGTTTTTTGTTGGGTTTCCCAAAAGGAGGGGCGCATCGCCGTTGCGTGATTCCCGCGGCAGTCCATTACCCTGCGACTGTGCGTGCCGCCGTCCGCTGCGCCGCCGCAAGCCTTCGCCTTTGTGAGAAATGGGGAGCGTGACTGCTGTGGCGGTGGTCGAATGTTCCCGAATTGGTGCTTTTGGTGATCCCACTTGGAGCGCCGAGCAGCGAGGGGCCGCACACGCCCAGGAGGCTGGAGTGTCAGCTGCAACCGCACCTGCGATTTGCAGTTGGGATGTGACATGTTTCTTTGGTATTTTTATTTTTGGTGATATGCGTGGCAGCGGTGTGTTGGCGTGTGCGTGCTGCTCATGGCTGCCGGTGTTGCCTTTCCTGCTGTTCTCCCGCTCCAGTCCTTTGCGTGCGACGGACCAAACGTTTTTACGGGCGTGTGGTGGGGCCGCGTTCTTGTTTGGGAAAAAAGCCTTTCGCAGGCATAATGATACTGCCGTCCGTGCCACACGAGGCAGCGGGGAGTTTCCTGGGATTTATTGGCGGGGTGGCGCCGCACCCATGCCGTGTGGCAGGTTTGTATTCCGCAATGCACGGTGAGGGGATGTGCGGTGACAACTTCCTCCAGTGGAGTGACGCGAGCAGCACGGGGAGCGGAACGGAGGAGTGGTGGCTGCGTGCTCCCAAGTGATACGTGAATGGCGAATGCAATATGAAAGGCGGCGTCACGGCACTCTTTTGCCATGCACACCGCAGATATTTTCCATAAAGCATGCAAGTTGCACTCTTTTCTGTTGTGTGGGAACTTACCGTGATGCATCGCTGTTGTGGCGTGTATGATTTGGGGATCTCACATGTGGCCGTTGCTGCACTGAATTTACTTTTTATTTTGTGTGTTTGTGCCCGTGGTGATGTGCCCACGTCCTCTTGCAGAGTGTGTGCGGTGACGGCGGTGCCACACGGGTGCGGAACCGTGGCGAGCGGAATGCGTGAGCGAACCCTCCGTGCGCACCACGTTGTTATTATTGTTTGCCCTCTCCAACACTGTGCTGGGTGGATGGCACCCAATTGCCGTCGTTGTGGTGGTTCTCGTGCATCGAGTACAGTGCCGTCACACCGCGCGTATGGCACTCTTGTTTTGGCTGCCAGTAATTTCTGTGCGTAATTTCCTTTATTCTTATTCTTTTTTTTGGTTGGTGGTTAGTGTTCAGCTTTAACTCGATACAACCAAGAGAACAAGGAGAAACAATGCCTCCAAAGCAAAATAGAGTGCAAGGTGGCAATGCCAAGAGTCGAGCGTCCGCCGTGCCGCAGGGAGGTCGGAGGAGAGCGATTCAGGAATTTGAGGGTAAGAGAGATCAACCCTCTGCGACACACATAAGAGCGGAGTCGCAGCAACCACAGTGGACCACGTACAGCTACATAAAGGACATTCTGCTGGAGAGAAGCACTCTCAGTTACAAAATGAGGCTGAACGAATTCATTCGGAGCTACTTGGGCGACACGGCGGCTGTTGATGAAGACCACAACGTGACGATGGAGGCGTTTGTTCAGGATCCAGATGCTTACGTACAAGACCAGCAGCTTCTTGAATTGATTCTTAATTTAGCTGCGTACCAAGAGCTGAAAAGGGAGCTGGAGGAAAGGAAAATACTATGGGAGGCTGTTTATAAGCTTCACCACGAGGGTGTGTACTTTCTCGATCAATGGAGGGACTATGAAGGAAAGGATACGGTCGCTCCGCTTGCAAGGAGAAATCTAAACAGAGTTCTCACTCAGGTACTGAGAGAAGAACGCCGCGAGGCAGAAGAAAGGGCAAGGCGGGACAAGCAACAAATAATGTTTAACTTATGTGCTAAGATCGAAGATTTGTTGTTTAGAGGAAGAGTTCGGGTCATGAAAATAAAGCTGAATGATTTTCTTACGCTGGAAATGGAAGGCAGAGGCATTTTGCGTGCCAATCGGAATGTCTTACTGAGGGATTTTATCAGTGATCCCACGAGGTATATCCGCGAAGCGGGAGTATTGGGCGAAATACAGGCAGCCGATGCTTATGCGAGGATGAAAGGGGCTGTAAGGGATGAAATGGATATGGAAGAGGATGTACGCAGGCTTTACGAGAAAGGTGTGGACATTCTACTGAAGTGGTCATTAGCTGCCGAGGAGGTAAAAGTAAACGTTCATAACCTCACCAAACGTTTATTGGATGCAGCCTTCATTGAATTGATGAGCTCAATGGCGATGAGTGCGCCGATTAAACTGGAGGGATGCTACGAGTCTGTGTACAATGCGAGGTGGCATCATGTCGTGGAGGTTCCTGGCGGCGAGGGGACGGGAATGTATGTGAGGGAGGGGAAACCACCGCAGTCATGGACGTACAGGGCAGTTGGCGAAACTCTTGAAAGGGATGATGGTGCGGAGCAATCCGGTGCAGCACGTCTCAAGCTGATGGTGCTCACCTCGGACAAGGGATGGCCGTATTCGTGGGAGGAGGATGAATCCACTCGTGACTGCTATGTGAACTGTGAGGTGGATCGAGTGTGGCAGATCGTCAAGCGCGATCTAACCGAGTGGTTCAGCCCTGACGCTGGGGACTACTTTAAGCCCAAGAGGCGTCTGTTGATTGGGACGCCCGGGATCGGGAAATCGATGGCCGCCGGCTCGTACCTCCTCTACCAGCTGCTGCACTACGATGTCGAGCAGCTCCCAATGGTTGCGTACTTTATTGGGAGTCAATCATTCCTGTTTGACAAGACCACCAAAACGCTATCAACATACAGGGGTGACCCCGGGATTGAGGATGTTGTAAACATTTTTTCCTTGCGTGGGGTGAAGGGGTATATTATCTACGATGCGAC